GCAGTTTTCGACTGATTTCGAAAACTTTCAGTGAAATAATAAATTTATTTTATTGGAGAATGGAATGTTCTGCTCAATAACCCTCGATCTTTTTGTACGTATCCTCCAAAAAGTACAGAAAAGATTGAGGTTTTATTGAGCGTTCTTTCATTTATCTGCGAAAGTTTTTGACTTCGTCACCCATATAACTGACACTTGGCCATTTTTCCTGGTAACTAAATTATCTCACTCGAAAGAACTTGAGGAATTATTTTTTTAAAATATCATTTAACCCTTTAGACCCAGAGGATCTTAAAGTGTGTACGTGAGCGTATAGTGGGGAGCGCGCGAATCACAGCGCGCCGTGTGCTTGTGTGAGTGAAATGCGAGAGTAGTAGAGAATGCGTGCGCCCCCCTCTACCGTATTTTCTGCCCTTTCTCTATGTAATAGAGTACAGTTCTCTCACTTCAAAAGGAAGATGCACGATTCGACAATTCGATCTAAGAGTAGGATTTCAAGGCCAGCCTCTAAAGGGTTAAGTCTCTTTATCTGTCATCGTTGACATTGGATTGGTTCTCTGCTTATCTTCGTGGGCTTATCGTCAGCAGGCTGTTCGGAAGTATCAACCAGAACAATGCAAAAAACCTATGTCAAAACCTTTACATAGCTGGGAATGCCGTCTAAACCGTGGCAAAATGTACACGCTGACTTTGCAGGCCCATTTTTAAATTCAATGTGGCTCATTGTTGTCGATGCTCACTCTATGTGGTCTGAAGTAATTCGCATGAAGAAAACGACATCTGAAATTACAATCAAAAGCCTGAGAAGTCTGTTTGTTAGATTGGTCCACAATGGAATTCTCAGGAATTTAAACAACAATAATATGAGACATATTTGTACAGCGCCTTACACTCCTGCCAGTAATGGCTAAGCTGAACGTTCTGTTCAGTCTTTTAAAAAGGCAATATTATCAAGTAAGTTTGATGATAAAACTGTAGATCAATGTTTCCACAGGCAAAGCACCATGTAAACTAATGTTGGGTAGAAAAATGAGGACTAAATTAAGTTTGATTAAACAATCTGTTATTTTACCTAAACAAAATGTAAATTCTAATACAATTAAGCAATTTTTGCCTAGGGATACAATACAAGTTGTTATGTTTGATGGTGCATCTAAATTGAAAGAGGGAACAGTTGTGGGACCTACAGGCAATATTATGTATTAAGTAGAGACAGACAGAGGAAAGGTAATAAGAAATGTCACCCAAATGTTTCCAACTAGAAAGGAACCAGATTTCGGTAACCGTTTACTCAACACCACTACTTCTGGCAATGAAAAGAATAATAATGCAGAGTCAGTGTCCATAAATTTTAATAAGGATAATACATCTGTGATTGAAAATATTAATGATAAAGATACTGATGTGGTAATCACAGATGTAAGTAGTAATGTAACAAAAGATATTGTTACATTACTACTTACTATTTCAGATTAATTTCACCGTATTTTAAAGCCATCATACTTAATGAAAAATAATAAAAAATCAATTTTAACCCTTAAGCGCATGGGGTCAGGGATATTTAAAATTGAAAAAAAAAAGGTTTACAGTGCGCAGAGCGCGCTCACGCTCTTTCTAGCTTCCTCGCTCCCCGCGGCGTACGCAAATTAGTCGCGTCCAGAACATCAACGCGTGCGCACGTATCACTGCTGTCTAGAGCGCCGACCCCATGCGACCAATTGCGTTCCATTTTTTGGCGGAGGTAAGTTTTTATTTTTGCGTTTTCTTTTAGTTTATATTAGTATTTTCTTTGCATGTGTGTATTTTTATTTGTGTGAAGGTATGATTGCTTTATGTATTTTTGTGTTTTCTTTTCTTCCTTTTTTCAGTTTTTTATTCATTTGAAATGCCTAATGACACACAAATATTGCAATGGCTGGATGAAGTGTCTGATGAAGAGCAAGATGTTGCTGGTTTGGATTCGGAAGACGAAACGGTAAACGATATCGCAATTGATAGTGCTCAAAATTCAGAAAGCGAAATTGAAGAGTCCGAAGATATCCAAAACATCCCTGAACCATCGGAAGGTGATTTTTTATCCAGACATACTCAGAGAAATGGTCTGAAAGTGAAATGATGTAAAGTACCACCATCGAATGCAGTAAGAACCCGAGCACACAATATTATTTTGCATTTACCGAGAGTCAAAGAGTATGCAAGAAACGCCAAATGTCCTCTTGAATGCTTTCAGTTGTTCTTTGATAATGAAGTTATTGAACTTTTGGTCACAAATACTAATTTATATATTGATAAAATCAAGGAAAAGTTCGGAAGAGACTACATACCGATGATACAGAAATGAATGCATTTTCGGGCTTACTGATTATGGCATGAGTCCTAAAAGGGTCGCACTTGAATTATATTGACTTATGGGCACAAGATGGAACAGGCGTAGAAATGTTTAATGTTAGAAATGTCTGCGGTTTGATAATACGTCAGACCGAGATGAACAACTAAAAATTGATAATGTAGCAGCAATAAGATCTTTATGTCACATTATAGAGAGCAAGTTTTAAGCTTCTTATAGCCCCATTGAGAACGTAAATATTGATGAACAGTTGGTTGGATTTCGTGGCCGCTTTAGAGGGAAGATTTATATGCCATGGCCAGGCCATGGTGAACTCGAAAACATATTACTTGTGCAAATTTGAAGTAAACGCTGGAAAACAACCAGATGGAGAATATCAAATATCTAATTCTCCAGATGAGATTGTAAAACGTCTAGTAGAGCCAATAAAACGCAGCGGTCGAAACATAACGACTGACAATTGGTACACAAGTTCAAAACTGGCTAAGAAGTTACAAATGCCTGAATAAAAATTGACTCTTGTTGGGACATTGAATAAAAGGAGGCCTGACATTTTTTTCCAAACAAAAATAGACCTACATATAGTTCAGTTTTCGGATTTCACAATCAAATAACTATAGCCTCATATGTTCCTAAGCCAAAGAAAGCTGTTGTTTTACTTTCCACCAAGCAAAATGATAACGCCATTGATGAAACAACAGCCAGCGCTCGGAAACCAGAAATAATTACTTATTATAATAGTACCAAGTGTGGTGTGGATTGTAATGACCAACTTTGCAGCAATTATAATGTTGGAAGAAGAACAAAAAGATGGCCACTGGCTGCATTTGTTCATCTTGTAAACATATCTGGCATCAACGCATTTGTTATACACAAAGCGAATACTGATAAGACTATTTATTACATATGCAAGACGGATTTTTTTGAAGAAATTAGCGGTAGCTCTTTTGGAAGACCACCAAAAATGTCGCATATAACTACGTGATGTACCAACGACAATAAAGAAACGGCACCGTGAAGTTCATGATGTGAACGAGACTGTCCAACAATCGATGGCTAAGCGCGGGCGCTGTTCAGCATGATCTAGAAAGGACGACAAAAAAGTGTCAACAAAATGCTTCAAGTGTTGTAAATTTATTTGTCAGCAACACCCAAAGGTTAATGCGTCGGATGCAATACCGAAGAATCCGGGAATTAGACTGACTAATAATTATTTATAGAGTTGATCTCGGCCATGCCAAAAAATAGTTTAAGGTGTGGTTTAACATTTCTAATCATTTTTGTTAATTATAATGTTCCAGTAATATTTTTGTTTCTTAAAGTTAAGTTTATAAAAGAATTTTATTAATTACTATGAAAAACATTAAGTTTTATTCCTTTTAGGAACTATTGATTTTCGGGGTCACTCAAGACCCCATGCGCCTAATTGGGTGATTTTTCTAATGAGCCTAGTTAAGGGTTAAGACTATGTTTACTATACCGACATTGTGCATGCAAAATTTATAGAATTAAACTAGCTGAACCCGCGATTTCGTCCACGTGGAAAGTTGCCTTAGTAATTCCTTATTACATAAGCTATCTGCCAGTGAAAGTCCCGTCAAAATTGGTCTAACCGTTTCAGAGTTTAGCCGGAACAAACAGACAAAACATTTAAAAAACATTATTTTGGTATAGGTATGTACCGTGTATACTTACATGTGCATTTAGTAAGAAACGGTTAATTTGTATTTGTTAAAATGAAACTGTAAGATCCGTTCATTAGTTCATCGGGAGTTCCCCGACCAAAGACTAAAGTTACCTATTTGTCCGTGGAAGTATTCCAGGGTTGCCATAATAAGTAATAGAATATTTACTAATAATATTTACACTCGCGATCTGCTATAGGTTCCTGAGCCATCGAAGTAAAGTAGGTACTTTACTAACGTTTTAATCGATGGTTAATCGTCGATTATGAAATTATAATCGATAACAACTAATTAATTGAATAATCGGTTAAACGATTAATGGTAATCGATTCCGCACACCATTAGTTATAATGGTGATTAATTGCCACCACGGCAGGTAATCTCTATAGAAGAAAATACCAAATTTGTTACCATAGACAAACAACGGTAGTTTAGATTTTGACATTTCTTCCCTCCTTTTCCCCGAACACCCTACACCCGCTTTCTCCTGTGTTTGTCGCGCCATTACCACAGATTATCAGTGTTGCCAATTTAGCGACTTTGTCGCTAGATATAGCGACATTTCGTTTTCAACAGCGGCTTAAATGATGTGTCTAGCGACAAAAATAATCTAGCGACTATTCTAACGACTTCTAGAGTTTATATGGTTATAAATAAGTATTTTAATTATCTTCATAAATAATTACAGCATCTTATCAGAGTAATATTGATAAAATTTCGGAACGCTGCCGTAAATTCTTATGCTTAAGCCGGGATCCCCCAATGCTGTACTTGTGGACGTACAACGGGGAATTCCGGACCCAGGCATGCCTTTTTAAGGTATTGTATATTTGAGTATTCATTCGTTGACGGAGTGTATTGTGCTCTCTAATAGAATAAAATTAGCGGTTGCTTATTACATATCCTATTAGTCACGTAAATCCAAACATATGATAAGATTGTCAGTTATTGACTACGTTTGTTAAACAATGGAAATACCTGTAAAGAAAAAAAGTTACTCACAGAAGTATAGAAAAGAGTGGGAAGACAATCCAGACTTCAAAGACTGGTTCGCACCGGTTCAAGGAACTGATTTAAAAAGTATGTGTCGCTGGTGTCAAGCTTTTTTTTTTTGCCAAAATTAGTGATAAAAAAAAAACACTCGGCGTCTAAAAAACACAAATCAAAAGCGAAAATAATAACGAAACAAAAGCCTTTGCCACTGTTCCTGCCAGTTGATAAAATCAAGCCTTCGAGTAGAGCAGAAGCAGCCATGCCTCTATTTATTCCGTGATGACAGTAGAGCATCTGGGAGAGATGTGTAAGACACTCTTTTACGATTCTAAATGCGGTCATGATATAGATATACATAGAACTAAATGTTCCGAAATAATTAATGAAGTATTGGGACCACACTTCAAAGAATCGCTGAGGTTGGATATTGCTGACCAAAAATATAGCCTCATTCTAGATGAGTCAACTGACATCAGTGTCTCGAAAAACTTAGGAATAGCATTCAGATATTTCAGTAATTCACAAAATAAAGTTCTGTCTACATTTCTGGCATTAACGCCTATTCCACAAGCTGATGCAAACGTGCTTGCTGAAGCAATTATTATCACATTGAACGATAATAATTTAAAAATTAAAAATTCAGTTGGTATAGGTACTGACAATGCTTCGGTGATGACTGGTGTGAATAATGGCTTGTATCAAATTTTGAAAACAATGGGATGAATTGAAATTACATTTTTCGCTATGCAAGGTAAAGGAAAATTCTTACACAGCAGAACTCCTGCATGCTATGTTTGAAGATGGTAGTAATTTGCTATATATGACATATATTCAAAGCATACTAGGAGAAGTTCTAACAGCTTTTAAAGTATTTGAAAGTGAAAATGCTGATCCCACAAAATTGATGGAAACACTGACATTTTCATTGCGATCAATTTGTAACAGAGTCATTTACCCTACCACAAATATAAATGTACTTACTATGACAGTTTAAGATATTCACTTAAATCCCTATGCTATGCTTGGTTATGCATTTGAAAATAGTGCTCGAAAACTTAATTTGAATGAAGATGTCACTAATATAGTTAAACAAAAGTGCGTTGACTTTACAGTCAAGTTGATGAGGGAATTGCAAAGTAGGCTTCCTCCAAATATCGAAATATTGATAAAAATTAATAAATTATCCGTCAGCGAAGTTTTGAGAACGAAGAATCAAAATGATGACATTATAAGTTTGGCAAAAGAGTTAGGGGTTGATGATGTACAAAAATTGGAAAAAATTGATATACAGTGAAACAATATAAATTTTGTTAAGTGGCAAAACATTAATAGTACGCTAGATTTTTGGGCTGAAGTAAACCAATATAAAGATGCTGCCGACAAAAAACCATTCCAAGAATTATGTGATTTGGCATTAACTGTAATATCGTTACCTCATTCGAATGCGGAAATTGAAAGCTTCGAAACAGAACGTGTTTGAAGTCATTAAACTCTATTCTGATGATTAAATACTCTTTAAGAAGAACCAATAAAAGCTACTATAATTACGAAATACGAAATGTGCTAAAGAACATTGGGACCAATAAATCATATTCGTTTGCCAAACGTACATCGCAGCTTCAGTCATCAACTGCGGGTATTAATTCCAATTACAGAACGGATACATCAAGTATTCCAGATTATCTGATTATTAGCGATAGTTCTGATAATGAATAAATAAACTTTTTCATCTTTTTTTCTATTAAGTTTTTGACTTTTAAATTCTGATAAATATTTTTTTGCTATATTTCATTATAGTATTGATTTGTTGATAATTTATTTGTTAAATAATTGTTTTTTCGTAATTTTTAATTGTTTTTATACCGATTACAAATAGTATTATAAGTAAAACAAATTATTTTCTTTTATACCATAGACCAAAAAACTGTGCCCCCTTCTGCCGTGCGTAAAACGATACAGAATTAGAAGTACGTGACTAACTGTATTGCGCTGTTTTATCCGCACGCGCTCAGTCTTTTAGCTTTTAATCTTTGTCCATAGCTAGCGACATCTTGCGACTTCTCAAACGTACGCTAACGACTTTTTGACATGTAGAGTTGGCAACACTGCAGATTATATATTTTGCCATTACAGTTTTGATGTTGATTGAGTGAAGTTACGTCGAGGTTTTGTTACTCCGTGCTTATCCTCTCGCATTTTAAAACTGTGATATTCGAGTGTTTTTCATTATGAAAAATACGTGTTGTGTTCCTAATTGTGGAAGCAAACGCAGTGGTGTCAAACTGCATAAGTTTCCAAAAACTGATAGTAGAAGAAAGTGGGTGCAATGTATAAACAGTGAAAAACTGAAGAAACATAAAATAATAGGGAAAATGCAAAAAGAATTAAATGGCCTAAAATATTTTTTTCTCGAATACTTATTATCGTCATATTATAATGAAAAGGTTTATTTTTTATTTACTTATTATTTAAACCCCTAAAATAATAATCAAAAAGCGCAAAATAAGTGAGCGAAATTAATACTTCCAAAACGCGCCACCATTGGTCTAACGAAATGTGACGTCATCTGACACGACATTGCATTCATCAGCGTCGAAACTCATACGGTTTTACAAGTTTTTGTGAAAAAAAATAATAATTTAAACCTGTAATCTTGTGCTGATTGTAGTAAAGTTTAGTTTAGATTTGTAGCGAATCTAGGACGATGACTGAAGCTGGTTTTGTCAAAGCACAATCGGACAATCTACCGAAAATAGATGCATTTATGATGACAGCATATTTTGCATCAAATCCCGATTTTACGAGCGCAGAGATCAGAGGAGTGAAAGCTGCAAGGTAATTATTATTGTTTTTCATATACTTAAGACCATAATATAGATTTTTATCCATAAATGCACACAGCAGTTCACTTATAATACACCAAAACATAACCTATACATATCCAGTTGTCATTACTCTGAAACTCTTATTTTACGTCTATATATACATGTTTTATATTTGAAGTTCACCCAAGTAGTCCACCTTTGACTTTGTGTATCTGACATAAATATATAATGATTTAATGTTTATAAATTGATAACCTAATTTACGTGGGCTGTTTTCTTTGAGTGTTTATAAGTACTTGTCTATTTCAGATCTAAACGAGAATCTTACGGTGATTCAGCAGTTGGATACGGCCAAGTAAAACGAGATGGAGACATATGTGTTGTTAAGGCTCGGATTACACCTGAACATAATGTGCGACAAAAATGTTATGCTGTTATTTGCACCTGCAATGAAACAGAGGAAACTATTATCTCTGTTCAATGTGAAGATTGTGCTGCACATTTAGGTAATTAAGTTTTACTTGTTAAGCTTCAGTGACCTGCACTTAGGAACTTGATATTTTCTATTAACATTTAAGTCGATTTAATTCGTGTAGTAATTGTTTTGTTTTTTTTTATTTCTCTTGTTTTAGGTGGATGTAAGCATGCTATAGCTTTTTTAGCATGGCTACATCGGCGCAGTAAAGATCCATCAACAACAAGCATCGAGTGTTATTGGAAAAAGTCGAAATTATCATCAATTGGTACTAGCCAGAAGTTTATTAAAGCCAAAAAAATGTATGAAAAACCTAAACATGAGCTCGTGCCAACATCTTTGAATACCGAAAGTTTTCTCACCGTAGTTAAAAATCATTGCACTTTGGTTGGTGATACAAAGAATCATTTGATGAGGTTTTATAGAGCGCCAAGCACTGTAGAAAAATTGTCAATGCACCATCTTCAATCTACAAGCAAAGCTACAAACCCTCCTGATTTTATAGAATATTGCAAACTAATAATGACTGTAGATGCATGCAAAGAAGCTGCAACAGCTACTTTGGAACAGAATGACTGCCCATTGTGGCACGAGTTGAGGTATGGAAGGATCACAGCTCCAAAAGCTTATGATGCTGCACATTGTAATACTTTTGATGGAACGTTAACGGAGACCATTTCGGGAGCAAGTAAATTGAGGGACACGGAGGCTATGAAAAGGGGTAGATTGTTGGAAAGCCAGGTTTTAAAGGAAGTAGAAAAAATTTGTAAAATACAAATAAATAAATGTGGATTAAAGTTAAATAGTGAATATCCTATTATGGGTGCTTCTCCAGATGGTGAAAGTAGTGTGTATAGTATAGAAATAAAATGCCCAACATCAGAAAAAGCAATGGGACAATATGTCAGTTTAGGAAATAGCGTGACTGCCAAATACATGGCACAAGTGCAACTGCAGATGCATTTTTCTAATAAAGCAAAGGCACTATTTTGTGTTGCTCATCCAGATTTTGAAAAAACAAAAAAAAATCAATCTTAGAAGTCAACTACGACCAGCAACTTTGTGAAAATTTGTTAGAAAAATGCATCATTTTTTGGAATAAAGCCATCTTTCCTAAACTATGTTTAAATAGATAGATTTTTTTTGTTTATTGTATTTGTTAAGTACTGAATTTGTTTATATTTGATTTCTGTCTAATTATTGTCACCTGTTTTCTTTATGCTATGAAAATAAAACAAATGTAAATATATATTCATTTTTTTATTAAAACATCCTGCATATTTACCAATCCACTTAATTCCTATCATAGATGATGTAATTACTACTATTATTACATCATCTATGATAGGAATTAAGTTATAGTCTACACAAGCATGGGGAAGTAACATATGAAACTCTCTTAACCTATTTATTACCCGTTCAACATGTATTCTTAATGCTGCTATACGTTTTGATTGTTTCACATCATTTTTAGTACTGGGGGTAGACTTTGATACAGAAAGTGGTCGTATAAGGGTACATCTTTTAGCTTCTAGCAAACATGATAAGTCTTTAAAACCCCTGTCAGCCATCACTGCTTTATTAGGAGGTAAAACCTGTAAGTAACTACTATCTTGTACTATCATAACATCAGTAGCCCTACCACCATATCCATCAGAGATAAAATTGATCAAGCCATCAGGTGTACATGAAATTAAATACTTTAAGGTGTTACATTTTTTATACTGTGACCAAGTAAGTGATTGGTGAACGGCATTTGATGGTTTTTCAATCTGAATTTCTAGGCAATCAATAATGGACACGACATTTGCATACCTACACCTAAAAGATATGGGTAAATTTTTGTAAATATCTGATGATGCTGGCCACACAATCAAGTCCTAAAGTTTTGCTGCCATAAGAGAAATACTTCTAGAAAAAATTCTACAAATAGTACTTTGTGAACATCCAAACTGTTGTGCCAAGATGCTAAAGGACTCATTTAATTTAATTTTCTTGAGGGTTATTAATATGTGTTTACTAGGAAGCGGAATATTATCACTTAAAAAAATTATTAAATGATATGATTGTTTAGGTAATCCTAACAACATATTTGGCTCTTTTTCAATAGCAGTTAGCATGCTACTACACATTACATTTTTAAACTGTTTTTCGTCCTCTGAATCATTTTGCACTTCGCTTGACTCAGATTGATAACTTGGTTCATAATCAACAGAGGTCAAAGAAGAAAAAGATGACATAGAAATAGTATCCGCTGTGTTTTCAGTAAACAATTTTCTTTTTAAAAGAGATAGTTTAACAGTTGAAGTTCCTATATTTCGTGATACAAGAGAAAATGGTGACAATGCTACATTTTGTTTTTCAATAGGTATATTCACATTGAAACCTTTACTTCTATAGTTCGGTTTAATATTCACTTGCACAGCTTTATCACAATGCTATTTCTCCTCAATATGGGAAGTGACAAGCTCTACCTGAAAATCATCACATCCAATACGGGAAGGTCCTGGTTGATCACAGACATTTGTGTGGGAAGTACTTGGACTTGCTTCGTGATCAATTATTTGTGAAGGTTCGCTAACAACACTACTTTTAAAAGCTATCTCTGATGAAAGGGCTTCATTGACCAGTGTCAATCTTTGCCTTTTACAGCCAATGGGCGTTTTTCCATTACCCGGCCCGGCACCGGCACCGACGCCGGCGCCGGCGCCGTGCCGTTGCCGGGGAAGCAAAAATGTATGAAAATGTATGGCTCGCTTTTTTACTTACCGGCGCCGTCGCCGTCGCCGGAGTAGCAAGCTTCCCACCGGTGCCGTCCCGGCAAAATTGCATGTGTATTTAAAATTGCATATGAATTGTAGCCGTGTGAGTGTGTAAGTGCGCGGGGCGGGTAGGAGGGCGCGGAGCGGAGGGACTCGTATTTGGTTTTTGGTTCGCTTACAGTGCGTACGCGTCAAGGTCATGGCGTTCAAATACGACATCATGACTCTTATCGAGTTAGTGGGAGCCCGACCTTGTCTCTGGGACAAAACTAATGAAGCAAGTAAAAATAAAATATTACGAGAGAAATGCTGGCAGGAAGTTTTTGCGTTTCTCGAGACAGGATATGAAGAAATGTCGAAGGTTGAAAAGAAAAACACAGGTAAATTAAGTTATTGTTTTTATTAAGTTACAGCTGTGTTAATTACAATATAATTAAGGTATGGCTACTCACTAAATTTTAGATAATTGCCAAGGCAGCTGACCTGTCTCAGACATGAAATAGTTAGCAAAACACGTACGCACTCCTTTACCAGTTTTCTTTGTGGATTTTGTTTCATTACTTGGTAAATTTATTGGTTGAGATCCACTAGTAATGACCAAATCACTTTCCCGATAACCATCTCGTTTGCGAACAATGTTATGTAACATTACCGTCGCTTTCACGATATTTTTTTAAAAGTTTCTGGAAACATTCAATGGTCTATGTAATATCCTCCATTTGTTACTTAATATACCGAACGCACATTCTATTGAATATTATTATTTATAATAATAATATTATTATTATTTCAATTTGAAACTTCTGGTAACCAAACTCAATCAGTAACACGATTACATACCAGCAATAACTGCCGTTCGAGCTTTAACATCCTACAAATATGATAAAATGTGTCCAGCTTCTTGTTCCAATAAACATCACTATAAAACTTTATAAATAATATCCTGAGCTTCACTCTAATAAATTCTCTTCATTTTTAACACTTTTCGACGGAGTTTAGAAGAAGTAGCTTCAGTTTAATCAAAACAAATCAAAAATGCAGAAAATCGAGCTAAAAAATCAAGTTGTTGACAGTCGATGTACTTTGATTCAGTGTTGTCATACTTGTATCTAATGTTAGTTCCTCAAACATTCTTTTCATGACTTTATAGACAGACTGTACACGTTGGTCTCCGTCGATCGATATCGTTATTTCAATCGATAAGAATCGGTATGCCGTTTCAAATATAACATGTATTCGATGCAAGTGAAATTATGTCTTCCATCACTAAATTAAGATCGTGACGTCATGATACCTACACAAAATGTGGCACGCTCGGTCTCCATATAAATCGACGAACATGTTCCTTCTAACTAGATTTATTTCTGTGGATGCGCCCATGTCATGTCAGTGCTTTGGTATTTAGGTTGGTAATTTAACTGCCCCAGTTTAATTCCTAGACGATATTTTTGATGAATACACATACGAAAATGAATAACTCTCTTATGTCAAACATGTCCAAAACATTTCTTGTTTTCTTGTAAAACAGCAAGATCACTATATATATATAAATATGATACCCAGTAATTACACTGGCTGGCTTAATTAGAAGACTTAATTAATTAGAAGACAAAGTCAAAACATACAAACAGGTTTCAATAACATTACCTATTACTTGATGAATTTCAGCAGCTTATTTCTCATGAATCCGTTGAATTAGAGTAATTATTTTTTTTTGTAATTGAATCTAAGGCCAAAACCCTACAAAATGATGTAGGTTTCATCATGGCACAAAAAAAAAATTTGAAACGAAACTCCGTACATCATTGCCCATTCTCCTTTACATTTTTGTGGCATAGAAAAACTCACCGGGGTTTTACTAGCAACCATGTGAGTTACGTGGTAAGTATCGAGATATTAAATGTCTCCCAAGTCCAAGACCTCAGTTATTTATTTATAAAGGACTTGAAGCTCTTTGTATTTTGTGTATTATATATAAATTACAAAAAGCTACATTTAATACTTCGGAATTTTTTTATATGATTGGTAAATAGTGCCATTGTACTCTCTTCTTAGCTTAATATTTTATTTTCTTGATCCAGGGACTCACAGGAATTGAAAAAAAGTCAGCAAATCCATGAAAAGTCAGCAATCTACAGCTTAAAAAAAGTCAGCAATCTACAGCTTCAGCAGATACAGACGTATCTGCTGAAGCTGTAGATTTTTCGACAGTCTTTTTGGATCTCGCCGAAACACTATTAAGGGTTAACTACGGGGTCCAGTCAAAGCCTCGTCTAACCATTTAAAATTTTGGCTAGAAGCTAAATATATTATAAAAGATTATAAAATTCGTTGATGCTGTCAGCAAAAAGGCAATTTCGAATGAAACTGAATATTTGGTCAGAGTTCCATCTTTAAATGGCTGCTTAACAACTATAGTAATTTTTAAAAGAATTTCCGAATTAATATTTGGAAAATATGAAATAAAGTTTTACTATCCAAGAAATTTAAAACAACACCCTCTTGAACATTTTTTTGGTAGAATAAGGGCACTTAATTGACGGAATGTGAAACCTGACGTGTCTACTTTTATTAATTCATTTAAATCTCTAATGATTTCAAATATAATGGGGTCATGTTCAATTTATTCTAATTGTGAGGAAGGCGATGGTGAGTTAGTGGTTATTTTTTTTACTTTATTGAATACAGATTCAAATAAAGCAAATAATGACCCAAATGTATAGCTTTTCCAAACTAATGATGTAGTAAATAATTCTATGATCAGTTTAGATACTGGAGAAAGTCAAAGTGCATTCATCAGCATATACACAATTTATTAACTGTAATAGTTGTAAACAAACCAACATTGCCCAGGAAAAAGAGAATTTCCATGAATGGATGGATGCTAGAAAAAAAAAATTAAGAATTTATATCAAGACTCAAAACAAATATATTTATATTATATAAAGATATCTCTGACTTTATCCATAAGTATATGAATCAATTTGCTCATGTAAAAAATATTAGAAACGTTTAACAAATTTGAATTCAGTTGATCAGGTTGCACCTTTCATAGCGATTTAGTAAGTAAATACTTTCTTAAGTTGATTACCCAGTTACACTTACATAATTGATGCAATGAGTCCTCGCCCGCGCGGTACAGGGGCGCGGGGTATGACGACAAAGGGGACCGAGAGAGGTGCGGGCGGCGGGCGCATTTTTGTTTTACCTCATTTCGATCGTTACGCGAGTAGCGAACACATGTGCTGATTTTTGCGGAGGCTTTGTGAGAGATATACATGAGATTACATTCTCAAGATGAATCGCAATATTTTCGGACATAAGGTTAATAATCAGTGCAAGCAAATGGCTTTTAAGGTTTAAGAATACTTTAGAAAAAAAAATTGGACCCAAATTCTGTTGAATATCAACAAGACATACCTTTAAATAAAACCGTAGCAGAAGTTACTGGGCTATCGGAAAAGACTGTATCTAGAATTGTACAGCAAGGGAAATTATTGAAAGACAACGAAAGATTACCTCACCGAGAAAACCGAAACAAGTTCGCAGAAAAAGAGTGGAAATAGTCGATTTCACAAAAGGAGTGGTAAGAATAAAAGTGACTCAGTTTTACACAATTGAAAAAAATATACCTACTCTGAAAACTTTGAATGCTGTACTTAGACAAGAGAATATATTACACTGCGGCAGGGAATATTTAAGGCTGTTATTACATGATCTTGGTTTTAAATTTAAGAAGTGCGGTTCTAAAAGGAAACTTCTTATTGAACAGCCAAATATAACATCGTGGAGGTGGAAATACCTAAAGACTATTAAAAAATATCGTAGAGAAGGACGACATATTTTATATCTTGAAACTTATGTAAATGCGTCTCATAACGTTTCAAAATGCTGGCAATCAAAGGATGTACATGGCGTGCTATCTCATATCGGTAAAGGGAACCGTTTGATCATCGTACGTTGCGGAGGTCAAACTGGATTTGTAGACGGAGCACTTGTGATATTTAAATCCAAATGTAAAACAGGTGATTATCATGATTCTATGAATTTCGTGAATTTCAGTAAATGGATAAATGAAAAGCTAATGCCTAATATACCACCAAATTCTATCATCGTTATGGATAACGCAGCTTACCATTCGGTTCGAGAAGAGAAAAAGTCGACTATGGCTTCTACCAAGGCAGTTATGCAAACATGGTTACGACGACAAGGCGTGGCTTTTGATGATGAGTTTAGAAAGGATGACTTATTTAAATTAATTAAAAATACAGAAACGGAAGATATTTATAAAATTGACGAGTTATTGAAGAGAAACGAACATGAAGTGTTGCGTTTGCCTCCATACCACCCAGACCTGAACCCTATTGAGATGGTCTGGGGTGATATTAAGGGACAATTAGCACAAAAAAGTGTCGACTCAAATTTGGACCAAAAAAAATTACATTAGAGGGAATATTTGCTGAATATTCCATAGAAAAGTGGGAGCATTGTGTTAACCACGTAATTAAAATCGAGGACGAGTACTGTAAACATGACGGACTTCGGGATGATGCTGTTGATTTTATTATTAACACTCAGGACGACTCTGATGATTCTGATGACGGCAGCTTTGAAAGTGAAGAATCAAGTTCCACTGATATTGATATGGACATAAGTGATTGATTTATAATTTTGATAATTCTTGTATTTAATAAATAGTACAAAAGTTTATTACTAAATATTTTATTTAGTTACCTACACAAGTTACATTTTCTTTCTTTTAAATTTTATGTAATCATCAATTGATTTTCAAATAAAAAAATCACAATTTGTTCACCGTTATCCACTATGACGTCACATATCTTAGGATCTGTCTAGTGTGCATTTCGTCTCATGCGCGCGCGCCTGCCGCCCGCCTCTCTCTCGGTCCCCTTTGTCGTCATACCCCGCGCCCCTGTACCGCGCGGGCGAGGACTCATTTAAACGGTCATACTATAATAAACAAGATTTTAAGAGGAGCTCTGAGTCTGAGTCAAGAGTGAATATTAAAGTAATATTCTTATCTAAAAACATTTGTAAACAGTGCATAAAAGGATTGAGTGTAAAAATATCGGCAACCAGGACCATTTGTCCTAATTAGTGAAAATATCTACAAAGAATCGGTTGATTTTATTTAAATGAACGAAAGTTCTATACAATTTTGATTAATGCAAACAAATTTAAGAGCGACTTTGAAATAATTGTATGTAAAGGCATTACTTGCGACAAATTAAAGACAATATTCACTTTTTAAATATTAAATACTTATGATACCGGGTATTAAACTAAGTGA